GGCAATAAGGGCGTTTTAAAGTCTTTCAATTACTGAGATGAAGACTATTCTCGCCGATTGGTTTAGTAATAAGTTGAAAAACAATGATGGTTTGTCTGTCTGCTAATAAGTTGGAATATGATCTTTACTCAGGCAATTACCTGGACAGCTGAGTCAGTGAGACAGTTGTTGAACATGACAGAGGCCGTGTGATCGTGGTGGAAGGGGGGGATAATACAACGAAAATATCATAAGTCACGTTATCACATGAATACCCCCCACCCCCCACCCCCCTTTAGATGTTTGTAGAGAATGGACTACCTCCCTCTGAAATTAACGTTTGCACCGGTCTAGATCAACGTGCACAGGGAGCCCTTCTCCTCAAGAATGGCTGGTGGGAGCTCTAGTGTGCTTTGTCCCCCTCAGCTTCTTTTTTAGTGTGACCACACTGTGTTCTCCCGTTCCGTCCCTGGCAAGACACAGTACAATAATGCCCTGTATACGGCAGCCCAAAGACTTACACATTACCACGAAAGGGCAAAGACTATCAAGTATAGTCCTTAGTTATACATTTTGTATTATATGCGAGGGGAAAGAACTTCAGGCTGCCTGTATTCTTACTTTGGAACAGTAACACAAATTTGTCTTGTCTGTTCTTTCGTTTTCTTTCAGCCAAGTCAGGAGAGAGTTTTACCTGCCGAGGCAGCTCACCCATTAGAATTGGATTCAATCCTCTAGCAGATGAAACATACTCTCCGAATGTAGCGTGTGAGTACGTTCTATCTATCTATCTATCTATCGATCCATCTATCTTATTTCTCTATCGATTGATCTATCTATTGATCTAACTATCAATCTGTTTGCTTGTCCGTCTATCTATCTGTTTATCTGCCCGTCTTTTTGTCTGTCTGTCTGTCTGTTTTTCTTCTTGAACTAATACTCAGCCTTCGTTTCCCCAGACGGACCAACACAAGTCACTGTATCTCTCGTCGACGGACAAGGAGAATCTCGCACCCTTTGTCCATCACATACTTTGTCTATACCAGTCGTGTGCCAAACGCCTCTCGTTAACATTAGCCCAAAGCCAAGGTGTAGTATCCTGGTCACAAAATCTGGCCTGACTTCGTATACAGAGGACTTTTCTGCTGACCAAGGGCAAGTACAAAGTGGACAGTACACGTTCTCTTCTGACGTGCCTGTGACGGAGGCTGGTGACTACGTGGTGACGTGTACGATGTACAACTCTGTGTTTGGCGATCTGACCGACAGTGACAGTATTGAGCTGTCCGTCACAGGTAAGAGTACAGGTGGGAACAACGAGCACATTTAATAGTTTTGTCTCGGAGAGACGTTGTCAAACTAGAAACGGCGTGCTCAAGTCAGAACTGATGCCACGATGTCATTCGACAAGATATTTATAGAAACGCCACAGGGATCTTTAAAATGTCAAATGACATGAAGGCAGCGTGTGGAATCAGGCGCTCGTCAAAAAAATAAAAATAAGAAGAAATTTAAGAAACTGGCATTTTTCCGCAGTTTTGGGAATTTCTATCGAATTTTTGTTTTTTGGCTCAACACCTTTCATGCCCATTAAAAACACATTTCTGTGTGGAATTTACTTAAATAAACGTTGATTAAAGGCATAAAATGAAAATTTTTAGTTTACAAGGAGTCTCAGTCTGAAGAAGTAACTCAAATTTTACGGCCATTTTTTCGCTAATTTGACCTCTGAAACCAGGCGACCTTCATTCCTTCAATCGCCAATACCTTGACGTGTATCCAAGGTAAATGGATATTTTAAAAATTAAAACAAGCCAAATGGACAGGCTTTAAGATGATACCAATAACTACACATGCCCCCAAAAACCGACGACCGCCTGATTCCCCCGCATCGTGACACATATAAAGGCACACTCATTCAACATGTTCAAAGTGATGGAATCGCACCGTGTTTTCAACACCCTGTATTTCAACAAATAGAAGCGCCCAGTAACAATCTTCTTTTTTTGTTGTTGTTTGCTTTGATAAGTGTTTTACGGCGCTCGCAACGGCATAAGATCTTATGAGCGCGCGGGACACACTAACCATTTATTTCAGTTGGTAGGACATTTTGAATTTTGCCCGCGTGGCGGCCGAGGCCTGCTTTTATCGATTTTAATACGACAAAGAGATCTCTAAGGTTCGCAACTTGCACACGGGACCTCCGAGATTGTTCGTTCTTATGCGAGAAGGCTAGGTCAGGTGTAGATCTTACCTACCATAAGATCAAGGGTGTGGCTGAAAAACAGCATTAAGAAGGAGCCAAGGACTAGCAGTAGAAACGCTGAAAAAACAGTTTAGGGGCCCTGATGAAAGGGGCAGAGGGGATAGGGGAGAGGGCAAAAAAATGGAGACGAAAGCAGACGACAGGACATGGTTAGAGAGCAGGAAAAGAGGTGAAAGGAGAACATTTTAGAGAAGAAAATTTTCCGTCGCTGTCAAGTTTCGAACCTTCGACCTATTTAATGAGAGACGAACATCGAAACCTCTAGACCACTAGAGCCCCCTAGTAGCAATCATGTTATATTTTGACTTGTGTTTGTCTCCTCAACGATATGAAGAAGGCCATTTTCGTGTTAGTTGCTGCACAGTGCTGGATGCCAACACGGTGGGGGCTGGGCTGACAGATTGGAATAAAACAGTAGGTCAAGAGAGTTGTTGTAAAGCCGTGCGAGTTTTCCATTGAAGGGGAGGGGGGACTTCATTAATATAATAATACAGTCAAAACTGGGCTATTCCGCAGTTAATGGCAGGATGGCTGCATTTCACATGATTATTGATGTCTTTCAAATGTCCTGGTCATTTAAAGTTGAAATAAATTAATTGCTATTGACTTACAGCATTATCATTGTGAGAAAGTGAAGTCAAAATGTCCCGTTATTACCGTGGAATAGTCCAACTATAATCACACCCTGATACCGAGTGAGAAGGGTTTTTTTCACTCATTCGACCTGTTCTGAGCTAGCATAGCTCGCTATTTGCAAACAACGTAACATTAGTCTTCTGTAAAAAGAAAATTCTTTTCCTTTTTAAGGATGTTACAAGTTTCCCTACAGTAGATTGAGAACAAAAAAGTTTACTATTGTCAGTCGATTAGCTATTCAAATGGCGCTCAGTGCTGTTCTCATCTATACTTCATAGGGGGCGTAATCTAACATTAAAAATGAAAAATATGACTTGTAAAACTAGGAGAATAAAATTAAAAGCTTCCCATAAGGTTAAAAGATACATTACTGCTGATCTCTTATGGAACTCATACTGATTAGCTGACAAAGTAACAAATGATGATATAATGAAATGTATACCTGTAGGGTTGTTACAATAAAAAATATATATATATATATATATATATATATATATATATATATTATTTCTATGGCTGATAAAAAATATATACAAGCTTTGCGGGGCATACCATGTTTTCCACCCTCAGAGGTGGCGTCTGAAGCTTAAGGGTTAGGCTAGCGGACTCGTAATCGTGAGATAAATAACCTAACAGTGTTGATAGGGGCGTTAAACCGTTACTATTTCATCATTTTTATATTTCTTCTTCTTCTTCTTCTTCTTCTTCTTCTTCTTCTTCTTCTTCTTCTTCTTTTTCTTCTTCTTCTTCCCCACCAGATCCCGTGATAAGTCACCCAGTCTTCACCGTCAACGGAAAAGTGAGAGATGAACAAATCGTCCCCGGAGACAACGTTACCGTCACTTGTAGCGACACTGGGGTGATTGGTGAACACATTGACTTGTTGTGCATTAACAACCGCGTCAACATCAACCCAGATGACGAGGATAAGATAGAGTTTTTGTCAGTCAGGACAGCTGATAATGGCACGGTTTGCGTCTGTAAGTGGACGTCAACACTGGGCTGTCTCCTTCAGGGGACTAAAACTTTAACAGTAACTAGTAAGTATTTTATCATCATCATCATCATCATCATCATCATCATCATCATCATCATCATCATCATTTCGGTATTTATAACCGTAAAAAAGTCCAACGTTTCGCCCCGTGGGCTTCGTCAGGAACATAATATGGTAAAATAACAATAACAACGCAGGGAAACAAAGTTTGCGTACACTTGCATCATGATGCGCAATGGTGAGTGCGAGAAAATATATCGGAAAAGCCACAAAAAGGGGAAAGCTGTGGTTGGTAATGGCTCCACCTCGTCTGAGAGGATTTTATCCTCAGTGCAAGGACTACTATAGTATAGTAGTCCTTGCCTCAGTGTCACCTATCTGGAATTGCAGGTTTGAAAATCTAGGGGGAAAAGATAACGTTAAACATTGACAAAATGTAACTCTGGTCTTTCCAAAATAGATCCACACCAACATGCAACATTTCTAGGTTCAAATACAGTTAGAGCAGGTCCGACTATTCGTGGCCAACTTGTCAGTCACCTGTTTGATTACTTATTCTCATACATCGGGATGGCCTAGAAGAGACATAATGTGAGTTATTTGGGAGAACCAAGTCCAGAAAAAAATACGATGTAGTTTCATGAGGGACACACCGACCAACTCGACGAAGTCAGTACCCGCTCCGTCAAAATGGAGTTTACCTACGCTGCGACTGGTAAAACTTTCGACTGCAACCAAATGAAGACTACAAGGGTAAATAAAACTAGCGATGTCACATTTTTCTACGAAATTAAAATTTAGCAATAGAGGCTTCCAATTTCTTTCACATGGAAAGTGAATTTTTTGAAGTTTTATTTTATTTTATTTTTATTTTATTTTTTCAAAATTATTATTAATTTATTAATTTATTATTTTTTAAAATGTATTTATTAGTTTTCTTTTTTGGAGGTGGTATTTTACTTTTGAAATATTCAATAAGTGGTTATTTCAGACAGAAAAATCTTTTTTCTTATCATTATTGTGTTTTTCAGTTGGGATTTGAATTAATATAATACTTTTAAGTTAAAAAAGAGTAGTTGCAACCATTATTCAGTATAGATGAGGACGTTGAGGTTGTAAACTCTTACAAATATCGACAAGCTAGACTAAAATTTCACGCAGATATTGTGCATTAGATTTTTAAATATTAAACCAAAGAAAGGAAATTATACTGAAACTCTTTTATAAAAGTAATATGCGATGTAAAGTTTATGTATGTGCTTTTACCATTCCTGTGAAGCCAAGAATAATTTCCCACTGGGCAATAAAGCATCTTATCTCTCTTGCCTTGAAGTAATAACGTATCTTATCTCTCTTGCCTTGAAGTAATAACGTATCTTATCTCTCTTGTCTTGAAGTAATAACGTATCTTATCTCTCTTGTCTTGAAGTAATAACGTATCTTATCTCTCTTACCTTGAAGTAATAACGTATCTTATCTCTCTTGTCTTGAAGTAATGAAGCATCTGTTTGTCTTGTGTAGAAGAATAGTGCTATTGTTTTTGGACACCACCAAATCCTCCCCCGTAAATCTTATTTGTCTCTCATTAGTTTCTTTGTCCGAATCTGAACTCGGGGGAGACGATGGAGATTCTGAATTCCCCGTAACTTTTGTTGTCATTGCTGCACTGGGCGTGCTGTGTGCTGTTCTTGCGGTGATCATCGCTGTCTTGGTCATCAGACGTCGAAGAAGTAATTATAAATATTATAAATATGATATATGGTTATGATGTGTTTGATTTTTTTCACGGAACGTATTCTTCAAATCGTGTTTCATATGCAGGTAAAACCATTTTATTCCAATTAACAAACCAAAAAATGTAATGGACTTTGTAACATTATGAAAATCAGATAACTCTAAGTTAGGCCGCCCTTTTAGGAAATCTGTAATTGTTTTCCTTCTCCAGAAAAAAAATGTACCCGACGTCACTTATATTATACATGTATAAATGTATATACTGAACGTCATTTAAAACGCAACATTTGTAAAGTCAGATATGCTCTGATAACCACGGTGTTTGGAGACAGTGGTGAGTAGTCGTTAATTCACAGGTCCGTACATGAATTTTTTTTTCACGAATACTTTTCAACACAGCACAGTAACCTGTGTTTTTGTAAAATATGTTAATGAATGTCAATGCTATTCATGATCAGAATTTAACTCACTTAGAAGATGACGAATATCTTTTTCAAAATAACAGTCTCAACATTTTTTGGATCAGCTTTGATTTTTCTTACAATACAAGACGTCTCAGCTTAGAGAAGCTAACTGTAAGTTTTACCTCCGTCTAGTTCAAGGCGGAAAATATGCCCGACAAGCAGCAAGGCGTCTTTTATTGCAGTGCTTGTATTGTTTCTCGACTTGCCCAAAGATTTTAGCACACTTGAAATAAAGGAGATAAAGTAGACTCTACGAACGAAGTGTTGCGTTTTTAATGGCGTTCAGTATAATATATACAGGGTAATAAAAAAACAACAACTCTACAACTTTTTTTCTGAATAGCTTGCTCAGAATTTCTGCTAGAATGTTGTAATTTGGAAGAGATATAATTCATTCAAAAGGAACTTATCTGATATAATCAATTTCATAAAAAAGAAACCTATTTTTGAAAACCAAAATGGCTTTTACAAAAAACACTTTTAAATGCAAAATGCACCAACAAAACATCTTGTAACTTAAAGAGAGCCATGAAATGATTGGTTTGTTTTTTCCATTCCTTTTCTTTTAAAATATAATCTTCCCTTCCTTTTAAACAACAGTATGTCCTTTCTCTCATAGAGTTAAAGAAGTAAAACATTTGATTCTGAAATTCAGAGGAAAAGTGCTCTATATGCCTCCTTTATGGACTTGTTACATGTTTTAACACGTCGTTCATAATGTTCACTGGTGGCTTAATACAAAGATCCACCCATTATGAGTACTCAAAGCCACAGACACTGTACACTTTACAGTATGGAGTTGCTTCTAAAGACAGTAGGGTAGCCGTTGAATTTACACAAATAGGCATTTGTGGAGTTAACATATCCTGAAAAGTAAATATGGGCTGTGCCAAGGAATCGAAGTCAAAGAGGAATGTTCACACTTTTCAAGGCGATCGAGGAATCATGTACCCATTGCTACCATCTTATGCAAGTAAGCTCGGCGAACAGTCGTAAATGAAGATCTGCCTCGGACCGTTGAGTTGTAGTAAAGTCCTTGCTGCAGACATTGTCTACGAACAGAAGTCTCTTGGGGCTCATCATCTGAAATCTGCAATCTGGTGACGATTAAAGGGGTGCAAACGGTATGTCTTTGATCTGAAGTGTTCTTTTTGTCTGGGGATTTTTTGTTCTGTTTCTCTACAGGTCTTAACGGATGGATCATTCCCACTCTTGACATAAAAAAAAGCAGTAAGGGTACTTTAACATCGTAACCGTACCTTGTGCGAAACTTACGAAATGAGTTGTCGGTGTTCAATACAAAATGTAATCTGCTTTTCAATCTTAATCAGGATCCCAGCAGACAAAGGAAACTTGAGAAAACGTTCTCCTAACTTCTGTTGACCTGTTAGACTACATGTACGGCAGCTTTCGTTCATGGCGCGATCGTTAAGACTTTTAGTGGTAGGCCTAATGCGATATAGTGCGTCATGCAACAAACATGGGGACATAGCTGAAAATGTTGTAGTTTTTTTACGCGATATTTAGAGCAAATGTGTTCCCTGGAATTATCTAAAATGAATATCAGACATATTCCTTTTGACTTCCAAATGCTGTGTCTAAATTTGTAACTCAAAAAGTCTGTGTGGAGGAAAATATTCACCAAAAAAGGTTGTATAGTTGTTGTTTTTGTATCACCCTGTATAATAAACCTTTCTGGACCCCACTCTCCTCTACCCCCAGTGGGTCGGGGGGATATAAATAGACCCACTGCTTCGTCTGCAGAAGGTGCAACCCCTTCAAAGGCGAG